TGTCCTGTTGTCGTCCCCCTTAGTCCTTTAGTCATGTAGTCGAATCATGTATTTATATAACCATTTGTTATTTTTCTACCAGTTTATTTTTATTTAATTTCTTTTTTCTTCTTTAATTTGCGTTCATTTTCATACACCTCGCGCAGTTTGTGTCCACGCTTTTATTTTGTGAGATTTGTATTTTGTTCTGTTGCCTTTTTAATAGTTAAATCGCTACTTCGTTTGGTTGGCTTAGTTGTTGAAAATGTTCGGAAGCGCAGGTAAAATGGCAGAAAAATATAGTGGAAGAATGATTGGAAATGCGCGTTGTAAACTTTAATTGGTATTAGAATAAATTTGGACATGAGGTTTAGTATGACTCGCGCATATTTTTTAATGGACTTTGGCTATGACTCTGTGAGACCATTTTGCAAATTATATAAAATAATTCTTTGCTGAAATATAACATGATTAATTTAGATATCACAAAAAAAGCCATAATATAGGCCCTTCAGGGATTATGTGTAAAATTTGTACTGTCAATATTGTTATAAAATCATATACATGTGATGTTGTTAATATTCTTAAATATCTTGAAAAATCTGATTAAAATAATCTCTTTAAAGCGGAGGTTTCAGATATAATACTCCGTTGAAGTGACAACCCTGTTTTATTATATTATTAAATTTAGAAATACTCCGTATTTGAACTTTCAATATCCTTTAAAAATAAAATTTTATGTAAAGTTCATATTATTGTACCTGATATTCATATATTGAAACATCTCGAAAACTATTGCAGATGTACATTGATTTTGACTATCATCTCAGCTATGTTTTCAGAATTTGATTAAATTTTGGCTGTTCCAACAGCTTTCTTACCTGTGAGGAGACTCTAGATCTCTGTTGGATTTAATGAAAATCAAAAATTGGTTCGTGGTCAAAAATGTCACGAGGCAACTGTTGTTATAAATGTCTTTTGATCCGAACAAGGACCGGAAGGTAGTTTTGCCCAGTGACATTGCGCTCCTCTAACCTTGATTATCATCACTGGCAAATTATGGGTTTTATTGACTTTTTGCATGATACGAATACATTGAAAGGCAACTACCTTCGACTACTAAGAAATGGTAGTTAAATATGGTACAATAAGGGCCTCATGTCATAGATGATAATATACGAGTATATACCGTTACGACAGATAGTGGATAATGGATATTGTTATACAAGTACTCGAGAGGGGGATTTTTGCGTGCAATGCTCTACTGGATCCCCATATATGTATACATTATATAATATATAGGTTAGGCATAAGGTAGTGTTTTAAGTTGCCGAACCACTGGCATCAAGCAGAGGTCTTTGATATTGGAAAAGCCGCGTAGCTAGCCTCTAATGCATCAGCGGCAACTCCATAGTTAACAACTACGTAGACAGTCAAGCAGCAATCATGGCTGTAACTTTGTATCGCATATCAGCCAGAAGTCCTGGGTGCCAAGCCTCAAAGGCATCAATGGCAATGAGATAGTGGACGAGATTGCCGAGAGTGGTGTATGGCTGTCATCAATGATAACGTGACCGACATTTGTAAATCCATGCATAGTCTTTACGACGATCTGGACAAGACCGTGGCATGTAAGATTAAAATTCGATGAAATGATTTTTCAGAATGTAAAACTGTAAAGGTCATTTGCAAAACGGTTGATCAAAAATACACAAAGTTCCTACGCACTTTTGATAGAAGAGACTGTAGGAACATGATTGAAATACCCACTGGTCACAGTCTGGTGGCGGCATACGCCTGCAGAATGAGGCTGACAGATTGAGATGACAGCAGGAAATGTCAAGAGCAAGACACCAGGAAAACAATGGAGCATCTCTTATAGTCTTGTCTCGCACTTGCAACGCAACGTTTCAAATATTTGGGGGCCTCACGGTATGAAACACTGGAAGAGATGTCGATAGTGAGGTCACGTCAAGCGTAGGCATTCGGAAGGATGACTACTCTTCATGAACCATGTAACCGCACTCCATCTGGCATCGCTAAGGACTAAAACTGATCAACCAGACTAACCTAATATGTGTATAACATATAATCAGTAGTAAGAGATTTATGAAAAGAGTTTCGTGCAATTGAAATACAGGATGTAATACGAAATTTTGTGGGTTGCTGAGCAGAACTTTTGTAAAATTATCCTTGTTTTTAATTACTATTATTTTGTCAAATTATATTATTTATAGAGTGCTTTCTACTTATCGCGAGTACTGAACTACTATATTATTAGAAAATTAAGATTAAGTCTAAAATACCAATCACTCAGTGACTTGTCTTTCGTTATTCTTATACTTTCATTCAAATTCAAACAAAAATGTTAACGTTTTTTATAATACTACTATGCCAGAGCTTAGAAAGCTACCGACTCATACCAAATAGCTTAAAAAGCTTCGGCGCGCCATATCTGGAAGTGTGAAAGCTGCGTTTGCTCTGCTTTATGTAAAACAACCCCTGATAGATAACAGGCAATATAGGTAACGGTAATCTACCCCAACTGTTTTATATTTCTCCAGCTGTTCTTGGAGGGGCGCGTACTTTTACTGCGACTGCGTACTAATCATTCGGAGTAAATCGTTGATAGCGCCACACGTTCGGGTGATATTCGGTGGGTTAGTGAGGGGTGGCGCGCTGCGAAGGCTTACGTGTTGATTGTTCAACATGTTGCTTTGCATTTGTGGTGGGGTGGCATGAGTGCGGGCATACTCACCTGTGCTGCGCTGCTTTCCCCTGCGATAGCCGACCTCACCGAATGAGTTCGGGGTTGTGTGTGTGTGTGCGTGCGTGCTTGTGTTTTGTCGTCGGAAATGTGCAAGCAGGTGTAACAATTATTTTCTCGTTGATTTTTCTTTGACGCATGTGCTTCTATTGACGTTTGTACGGGTGTGATGTGTGCTGTTGAACAGTTAGCTGCGTATGTATGCCTCTCGCTCGCACCTACTATCTGCGCTATCTGTCTCGGTTATTTGGCAGTAATATTATTACGCCAACAATAACAATGAACGCAACGGCACGGCAACGATAACGACAACGACAACGACAAGCATCAATAGCTGGCAAGCGGGTGGGTAGCAGCATAAGCGTGCTAGCACACAATGCGCTCGTTTTGTCGTTTTTGTTAGACGATGCGATGCAATGCGATGCGGCACGAAGGTGAAAGCCGAGCAGCGGCTAACTATGCTGCTGGTACTGGTACCGTTAGCGCTACAATGGGTGCAACCCCCATGCATGGCCAAGCGAACATGCCGTCTAATGGGAAATGCTCGGTTTTCCGACAGCCACACAGCAACAACGCGGCAGCGGAGTAACATTGCGGCGCGGCGTGGTGTGGCACTGTTGAAGCTATGACGCATGCGATAATTTCGAGACCAACCGGCCGTGCTTTCTGAAAAGTGGGTTGCCGCGTGCATTGGGGGTTAGGTGAAATGATAGTCGCTGTCATGAATTCTGTTACTGTGTGTTGAATGCCAATGCTTTCCCTCTCGTTGGCAATTGAGCAGATGTAAGACCAGCAGCTATGTTATGCGGGTGGACTTGAACAACAGTAGATAGCTTTCTTTCGATTTGTTGTTAATTTAACTGTACATTTCACCGCTGTTATCTTATCTGTTGAATTGGCAGGCGCGCTAAAGTGTTGTGAAGTTAGAAATACGTTACTAGTTTCAACTTTATTCAATGAACAAAATTAATATATTATTTTAACTCAAATAATTGAAACTTTGTAAAAAAAATGTTGTAACCTGAAACCGTGTGTTCGAAATGATGTTTCCAAATTATTAGACATTTATATGCTCAACATTAAATGGAGGATTTCACATTTTTCGGATCTCCGTGTTTATCTTTGAGTTAGGCAAGGTCTAGCGGTAACGACCTTTAAGAAAAATGTCAATATAAAGTAAGTTTGCACTTTCAAATTTTTTGTTTTAATGTACCCAAACGAAACATCGTTTACGAATTTCTAATTTTAGCTTATAAAACAGGGCTAAAAGTTGTAGAAAAGGTATGAACACAAAGTTATTAGAATCATTTATTTTCCAAAATACAGACCTTTTCCTTAATTAATAAAGTTAAAGCAAAATAAATTTCTGCCAAAAGTTTTTAAAATAATAAATTCTCTAATTCTATTCAACCAATTTTTCGCCGTCTTGAAACATACACCAATATGTCTTCCCCAATTCTAATTCTATATAGTTATGCCATAACTCGAAAATATATAGGGATATAAAATTTATTATTTTCAATAAATGGATGTCGTAAAATGTCATGCTTAGAAATAAAGTCTATGACATTAAAACTGTTATTAACCCTAAGTGCATCGCGTTAGGTCACATCGACCCTAAAGTAATCGCTCCGAGCTCGACAACTCGTAGGGGAACCGCTTGTTTTCCAATTTTTAGAGGTTTTTAATTTAAATTTTATAAGAAAAAAAATAGGCACTAAGTTAGCCGAATCGAGTGATTTATATTAACTTAATTTGGCATGCTTCGTCGCTGCATTTCACTAAGCTGACAAATATTGGAAATACTGAAGTGAAGTGAATCAATACTTATTTACATTTTGAGATAATATGATAACAAACCCTATTTAAAAAAAAGTAGTTCGAATATTTCAAAGTTTTCGTATTTACTCTCTAAATATCATTTTTGTTGTACTCCCATATGGTACAGTGACATGTCTTTGTACACGGTTAAGGGCACATGCTAACTCTAAACTCCTGTTTCAAAATTCAGCGTTCGTTGTTTTGTTGTTGAAAATAATTAAATAGTGCCTTCGATATCACAGGAAGTGTGTGAAATTCCATTTACAAATTGGCACTACTGCCTAGGGCTGCTCTAGTCTACAACACAGTCTAATTGTCATGACACCAGCAAATGAATCAATGAAGATGACGAGTGCAAAAATTGGAATACCATTTCGAACAAGAAGTCGGCGAATATGATTTAGAACCAGAAACAGTTTACGGATAAAAGGCAAGAGTTGTGCCATCTTTTGTGCCTTTGTTGTCACGGAATGGCACGCGGAGGCGCAGCGGCGTAGAGAAGAAAGAGCCAGAGCTCTAAACAAGCCGCTGTCGCTGTGTGAAGTTATTGTTTAGCGCATAAGACAATAATGAGCATCAGGTAAGACCGCAGTCAACAACCTGTGCGAATCGCAGAGAACAACAAAGGAATCGCAGTTCGCACACCTGAAGTTGAGCGCGAAGTAGGAAGATAAGAGAAATGTGCGACAATAAATGCTCTTCGCTCATTTTAGGAGCATAATTTGGTGCACTCCGAAAAGGCGAATGAGCACAACGACGAAAGTGGAGAAGTAAAGGAGAATATTTTGAAACCACCGGCTCAAGAGTAGAACCGAGCTGAAAACAAACGTCGTCATCATCAACGTCGTCGCACACCGGAAGGTGTACGAGCGTAGAAACGAAATAAAGCAAGAACAAATGTTAAAGAGTGTGGCGACTAGAGGAGGATGCACGGGAAACGCAGAGGCATGTGGATGTGATGCCTTCGACTTTAAAGTCGTGCATATGGATACCGATGATGAAGAACGAACACATACTAATACATACCCCCTTACATACACACAGATCCACACTTACGCGCAATGTTGGTTTGAAGAGAGTCGCTAAAGCCGAATCAGTACGCCAAATAGGCAAGCAAGCAAGCAAGGCAGGCAGATGACACAATACCCGACTGTATGCGCTCATTTGCGTGGTGTTGGTGGCACACATGAAACGAATACATACGAAAGTGTGGCGCACGAGCGTAGCAACGAATTCAACAGATTCAAAAGCCGAACTCCGAATGCAAAAATTGGTATATTACCTTAGAATGCCAGTCGTTCTTACTTCAGTCTTCGTACAGTCTTTGCTTTAACCCGTTCCAATTCTGTCCGCCGTCGCTCTATATTAAATAATAACAAAAATAACAACAACAAAAATAAACAAAATAATATCACAAACGACAACCATAACGAGTATCGCATCTAAAAAAAAACAAAAAAGAAATCAAAATAAAATACAAAAACAAAACCAGCAATAGCAGCAGGAAAACTACGAACAAAAATCACGATATTCTAATATATCCAAACAGCAGTGGCGAAACTATCAACAAGCGCTTAAGAGCAGCACGCAACAGGAGTGGTTGTGGAGTGAAGCAGCAGCAGCAATAGCAACAGTGTGTCTCAGTGTTATCAACAACATTGCCGCCTTCGTCACCGCGCGCAACAACGTCTCGCTCCAGCACTGCGTCGCGCTCCGTACAGACGTCGCCGTCACCGTCGCCGTTGAAGTCAGCGCCAAAGTCGAAGTCACAGTCAAGCGTCAGCAGTCGAACGTCAAAATACGACAACAACGACAACGACGGAGAAGGCAGAAGACTCTGCAAAACGCACACAAAATTTCAATATCCAAATCAAAGTTGCGTTCAAATCGAACACGGCCGCAATAGTAGCAACACCGTAGCATCGTAACACGCGGACTCGACACTCGAGATAGCAAACCTTACCACTTACCACTTACTAGTGCAGTTCTAACTACGTCGTCGACGTGCACCATACGTTCGCAGTTATCAACCGAAAGTTGCAAATAATTTTAACGTGTCCACTTTGAATTGGTTTTCGCGTGCAACGTGTTGTTGAAAAATTGTTTCCAAAAATACCGAAAAATCATAAACAGCTTTCAAAAGTTCTTTTAGGTGAGAAAGCGGCAAAAAAACCGAAATATCGTCAATAAGAGTTGGTGTGCAATTTTTCGTTTTCATTTTGAGTTTTTAATATATTATTTTAATTAGTAGTGGTTTCCTAGAAAATAGACAGTGCTTCTGAAATTAGCGCGTAGCAGTGAAAACGTTTGATTTTTACAAGTGAAATTTTCTGCTAATGCCTTTTAGAAATATTTTTATAAACCCCGCAGCCTACTTACGAAACGAAGCTGTGAGTATTTTCACGTCTTAGCTGAGCTATAATTATATTTTAATACATACTTTAACTTTAATTTTCCTACTAACTACTAACTTACTAACTTTTTATTACTGATTTTCCACTACTCCCAACTTTAAACAATTTGCTACGCACAGCCCAGACATTAAAGTCAAGTTCAAGTACGAAGCTGAGTAAATTAAATGCTCGCACTTGTAGCATGTTTCGTGACGAGATTAGCGCTTGAGCTTATGGGCTTTATGCTAGCCACTGGGAGAGCGAGTTAACATTCATCAAAAAACTGGCTCTTCTTGAACAATTAAAAAATTATGAAACTTTTATTTTTTGCCAAGGCAACGTGCGAAAAGAATTGGTAAGCGCAAAAACAGCGGCTCCAAGCCAACAACAATTGCTCAAGCCTATTTCAAGCAATGTGGGTAGCCGCATGAGTTGAGCAGTGGCAACGACAAAGGTTCATTGATTCTTTAAGCAAACGCTTGTGTAGCTTATAAGCCGCGCTTAAGCAACAACAGCAACTACAATGGGCACAGTAGCAAGAAAGCGCACTAAAAAAAAGTCAAAACGAAAAATATTTAAAAGAAGGTGTGCGTTTGTTGAAGCAGAAAAATTACGAGAAGTAATAACATAAAGAAGTGCGAAAAGCAGCAGAAACAGCGGCACAGGTTAGCATTAACAGCCCACAAACTGGCTAAGACACAGAATAAAGTTGTATAATAAACGCATGCACTCACACAGACACACGAAGCGCGGCTTTGCTGGGCCAGTATGTGAAAAGAGTGTGGAAGCGTTTGTAGCAAATCAGAAATATTCATTGTGACCAGCACAATGTGCCGTACAGAGTTGGCATGAAATGGACGAGTCAGTCAGACAGCTAACTGGTCACATACACACACACACGTGCACACCAACAGCGGTTTGGCAAGGTCTGCGAGCGGCCAAGCAGCCGGCGAAAACACGTTTTCTTGGCCCGAAAAGAACCTGTGCTGATGAGTGCTGATGAGTGCCGAGCGGCGCACAGACGAAATACGAAATTATAAATTAAGAAGTCGAAAGACCTTACAAAAATCACATAGCGAGAGCGTAAATAAAATAGAAATGCTTCAATGAAAAACAAAAAAAAGGGAAAAAACAAAAACGCACTAAAAAAACTCGAGCACAAATCGACGAAAGAGTGCAGAAATGTGTGAAGAAAAAATTAAATAATTGTGCCGAGCAACAATTTGGGAGCGAAATAAAGCAAAAAAAAAAAAACCAAAAACAAAACACAGCTCAAAGCAAAAAGGTTACTTTACAAAAGGGAATAATGAAAAACTGTTGGCAACGAGAAGTAAATTGGGAAAAGAAGCGCACAAGCAAGCGGCTATTCTTGGAATTACACGTATTGCGGTGCGAACCAACAAGTGAAAACAACAACAAACGCCGCACAGGTATTTAAGCCAAAGTGGAAAGAAAGAAGCAAAGCAAGAAGTAATAAACGTTTCATTGCGGGGACGCAAGAGCGGATATGCGGGGAATCGAATATTGTTATTAAAAGAGTTAGGAGAGGCCAGCTAAGTCAAGCAAGGCAGTTAGCGGCGAGCTGGGTGTAAATTACAAAAGGAGCAAAAAAATAATAAATGATTCGAGGCGCGCAACAAAGCGCTGCAGACGACGGGGACGGAAAGTTAACAAAAAAACAAAAATATATATATAAAAAAATTATAATACAAATAAAAAGAAAATTATTATGAAAATGCAGCGAGGAGAATACAAAATAAACGTTAGGAAAACACCACATAAAGTGGGAAAACTGTGGTGTCATTATCAACACAAAGCAAAAAGCCAAGTAAAACTCACAGCGTTATTAGCTGTGCGAGCATGATTTGGTTGATTATTTTAGGGAACGCTGGACACTAGGGCGTCTTGAGCGCACTTACCACAATGTTGCTACACAACATTTCGACGTAATTACTTATGCATTTACAACGCGCACACATAACACAAGTAATATAGAAATAATATGTGCCTTGTAGAAGCATACACGAAGGCGGACGCTTAGCATAACAGAAAAAAACTACATTGCATATCGAAATAGTTACAATAAATACAAAGATAAGTGAATACAAATGATCTACGAGCGCTACACGTGTAACCAACTAACTGTTGGCAGAACGGCTTCCGTTGCCGCTGAGTACACGCTGAGATTGACGGGCTAACTTGAGCCACGCTTCTCACTGATTGCCAACAAATTTCAGCTTGCTTTCGATTTTCAGGCAATATTTCATTATTTCTTGCTCTTTTCTCACAACACAAATACCATTTTAATTACTTTACTGCTGCTTTTATTGTATTTTTTCTGATACATCTTTCTCGCCTCACGTACGCTGCTGCGGCAGGGTATCTGCAGGCAGCTCTATATTTTAGTCAACATTCAGAAAACATAAACTTTTTCTAAAGCTAAAAAATGAATAAAAATTAAAAGAAAGAGCGTGACAAGTTAAATCAGCGTAAAAAAGCCGCGGCTGCCTCACTTGAGAGAAGCGTAAAAAATTTTGTAAGTAAAAACGAAAATAAATTCTCGCTTTGCGCAAAAAAAGCCGCGCAGCAACAGAAGCCACTAAAAACTGCCAGTGTTGATGTGTGTGTGTGTTGTGTGTATTTGCAGTAAGCAAAAACCGGTAAAATATTTTAACAAATTTTGTGCGTGCGAACCGAAAATCGCGCCAAGCGTAGCCGCTAGCGAGAAATCAATGACACAAAGCGTTCAAAATACGGCTAAAAGCGGCAGCAAAAGCACAGCAAAGTAAAAACGACAAACAACAAACAATTCAATAGCTAACTGAACAAAACTGAAAGTCAAGAGCGCGAGCAAACAAAATATAAAAATACCTATTGTTACATTCTTAAACGCCAAGCTGCCGCTCTTAGCTGGAAAAATGAAGCTGTCAGTAATGAATATTATTTCAAGTACAAGGCGTTTGAGGGCCAATCTCAGCTTTTATGCCGACTTAAGAATTATAATTATAATTATTTTAATTTTTTACGTTTGCCTTGGTTATATCACGGTGTTCAAGCGCCTAATTATTGCGGCATTACAGATTTTTAACAAGTGATTTTTTGTATGCTCTGAAACTCGGCTAAAACATGCTTCATAATTTTGCTATTTCAGTGTAAGTGCGTGAGATATCTGGTATAGCGAAAACTGCTTTAAAACAAAACAATTCTCAAAGCTGCTACTAGAACATTTACAAAAAAAAAAAAAATATGGCGGTCAAGCGAAAGAGTAAAATATAAAATTTGCCAATATTTGTTAGTTCTAATAACATTGCTTGACACTGCCTCATAAAATAAGCGTCGTATATTTTATGCGCTAATGTCCTGTCACTTAATTTTTTTAAGCTCGTTCGTTAAAAAAAAAATATATATATATTTTATTATTATATTCAATATTTTTTTGTGGCAACTCTAAGTTAGTTTATATATTTTCTTGATGGGGTATTTGAAATTTTTTACGAAAAGGTCTAAATGGTGTTCTGTGAGTCTAGTCTGTCTTAAGGAACAGTTTTGAATTAGTTAGAAATTCTTGTTATAAAAAAATAATTTTTCACACGATTTCACACATTATCTTCAAGTATTTTTTATAATAATTAATTTTTAGCATATCAAAAGAGATTTTACTCAATTACTCTCCCAAAATAACTCATACTTCAAAGGGTATTCTCCAGCACTAATTACGAAAATTTTTAAATCATGTTTATATTACAATATTCACAAAATTTAAACCGATATTAAAAAGACATTATTTTTCAATGAGTTCTGGTTACTAATCATGTTATAGAGTAATGTTTTCATTAAATTATTTCGCTAAAAAAACTTTCTGAGCATAATTGCTTTAAAATATCTTAATTCAGTACGAAAATTAAAAGCTGCCCTCAATAGCTACTTTTCACAGTTTTTCAATAGAATACTTTTTTTAGACTTCAAAATATTTCAACGGTTATTGTTATAAAGTTTGAGTTGTCATAAGGATTAATCATTCCTGCCACCATTTTATTATTACGTGTACTTTTACAGTATGTGTTTATAAAAAATCTTTCTACAAAGTCTTCCACTTTGTTTGCTCTTCTTTTCCAATTTTTTTTTAACGCCAATTAGTATAAGTTAGAATACCCCGAAATTTTAGTACGAAAATTCAGAACCATTCAGTATTCGAAATATTCGCAAATTCAGGGTATCTGCATATATATTTTTAAAATATCTATACTTTTTTTTTATATATCGATTTTCTTAAATATAGTTTTTATTTTAAATAGATATTATTAAACTACTAATTATGACAGGAATTGCCTTAAAGTGCTAAAATTTGTTTGAAAATTCTGAATATTGTAAGTTATTTTCCCTTTAAAAGATTTTTTAAAACTTTTATTTATTGTTTTAAAATACATATTTTAGAATGTATTTACTATTTTCTTGAATGATTTCTAGTTCAGATCTAGTTTGTCTTCCAATCTGGTTAAAAATCAGTCTAACATTTTTTGCAGCCAAAAAATTTTAGTCAAAACGAGATAGACTTGTAACCCAAAAATGTTTGTTTTAATTAAAATTCAGAACGTGTTACACTTATCAATAATTTAGTAAAAAATATTAATAAAATTTGAGCAACAGTTTTTTAATATTTCTTTCGACAAAAAAAAAAAATATTTAAAATGTTGCTAAATATTATTGAGGTCGTGAACGAAATTTGTTCTAAGTCGCCTTAAGTTTTTTTTATAAAGCTGCCGAAGTTCGGAGTTTTGAATATTAATTTATTTATTTTCAAAGCCAGAAAGCTCGAACGAGAAGCTTAATCCGTAAAATGAAAAAAATAGGTGATTGAGGTTTTAAGATTTTTTTTGTGTAGGCATAATTTTTTTATTATAAATGTACAGTCAATTTGCTATTTAAAGCAGTTTGATGGTTTTGAATAATTATTATTAAGAGATGATTTCCGTACAAAAAACGTTGATTTTATTTTCTTTTAAATATTTTTTATTTTTTAAGTACACAACCACCAACTAAAGACCACTTGTGTCGAGCAAATAGTTTCTAAAAACTAAAAAAAAAAAAAAAAAAATTAAATATAAAGTCAAAGCGTTTATAATAAATATATTTTATTGCAGCGACAGCATTTAACGTATTAATAAAAACTTCGGTGGTATTTTATCCTCTGTCAAACCAAAGCTATTCCCCCAAGTCATAAACTATTGCACTCATAAGTACTTCACTTCTCATTAACAAACTCAAAACTAAACGATAAAGTTTTCTAAAAAGCAAATTTCAATTTGTACTTGTACTACAGCAAATTGTTGCTATTTTTAAGTATTTATAAAAATACTTTGGTGTTATGTAATTGCAAAAATTAGTAGACAAAACTGTATTACTGGAAATCTGAAATCTAAGGTACTAAACCACAAATACGCGCAAATCTAAACTTTCACAGTAAACGAAGATCTCAACAGCTACTTTATTATGAAAATAAATATATCAAAAATCAAAAATTAATTGGAAAAGTATAACGGTGACTAAATCACTACAAATTTACAAGAATTTATTGTTAGTGCAGCTGCAGATCATTTATAAACACAGCGTCAAGAGGCTTGAATGCTTCTCTAAAAATTGAGAACATACAGTGAGCGGAAGAAATAAATATATTTGTTGTCATTGTATTTGTATTGATAGCCAATATTAGCAGCAGAGAAGCAAGTCCTTGCGCTTTTTTGCAATTTTGTAAACTAATTTTGAGCAAAATTTCAAAAACGATAACAATATATATCTATTTTAAGTAAACAAAAGGTTGTTGCATATTTGATTTTATGTGCAGAAATTTAAATCATATTATATAATAATAAAAGTAAAATAAAAATAATTTTTAACATTACATATCAGTGTTAGAACAATTGTACCAGTAGCGTTAGTTGTGAGAGAGTATAGAGGATATAGTCGAAAGCAATCAGCAGAAAATTGCAGCAAAATCAAAGTATTGTAAAAAGGTTGTTTACGTAACAGACGAGAAGTGAGAGAAACATATATCAAAAAATAAACCAGCAAACACAAGTACACAAACGCATTGTAATCAAAGTCAATTTCGAGGCATATTTATAGGCGACACAGCAGCAAATATACTTAGTCAATCAGCAATGCGCATAAATTGAGAAGTGCAAAGCAATTTGAAACACTTTCTAAACTCAAAACCTTTTTGTGAAATATTTCCGCGTAAACAATATTGGAATAGAAAATAAATAATTCAAGCAATTTACTTACAAATATTTCGAATTAAGTAAATTAAGTGGCTAGGCAGCGGCGCAGAGCATATTTTCTGCGTCACACTAAGTAGGCTACAGTATTCTTAAGACACAACTCAGCTTTGGTGCAGCAATCGAGGCATCAAACTGACAAGAGAGTAAGCGTTTTGACAATCAGCGAACGTTAGCATATACATATATACAAATATAAATACACACTCGTGGAAGCATTTGGCTGGAAGAGCAGTGTTTATGAAAGTAGCAAGAATTTAGACATATTAGCAAACGATTTACCCCAAAAATTTAACTGCATCTACAACTTGCAACTCTGAACTTTTTAAGAAGCTATACAACCTTTTTATAAACAAAAACTACAACTCAAACACTTAGATCGAAGCAAGCAAATCTCAAATACTGCGAACCACAATCTCAAATCTCAAGCTAATCAGCGCTGTGTGAACGATATTTCGAAGAAGCGGAGCAACTTTTACCAAATCGAGCTAAATCTTGAACTAAACTTGACAATCCAATCCCCACTTTTGTGAAAAGCCATATTTCTTAGACCTCTACTTGCTATACAACAAGAACTATAAGAATTTTACCACACTTTATATAACTAATTAATCAGTAAAATATATATCAATATTACTATACTAAAACATATTTCTTACTAACTTATTCAACTTACTAACGTATATATATACAACAACTAACTGTGTTTCTATATTACATTATTTACTATTAGTAGCGCAACTTTGACGTGATTTATAGAGCTAAGCATAGTTGAAGAGGAAGTTAATTGAATTACATTAAAAATTTAGAAATACAATTGAAATTCGTACATTGTGCACAACTTATTGACAATCTTTCTCTTTATCAAATCGTATATATAAATATATATTTCTAGCTGTAATCAAGCATTTACTGATAACTACGCGTAAATTAAACGCACGCTGTGTCTATTCAATCATATTAAGAACTGTTCAATCTTATTAAGAACTGTTCAATCATATTAAAAACTATCCAAACGCATTAAATACTATTCAAGCATATTAAGAACTGTTCAATCAAATTAAAAGAGCTATTCAATCATATTAAGAACTATTCAATCATATTGAAAAGGTATTGAAACCTACTGAAAAGCTATTAGAACATACTGAAAAGCTCTTCAATCATATTAAAAAGCTATTCAATCATATTATAAGCTGTGCAATCATATTGAAAACTCTTCAATCACTTATATACATATATACATACATACTTGTGACAATCTACATTTGCTTGAAGAATACTTTGAAGAAGTCTATTTAATCTAAAGCGTTTCAAACTTTACCTACAAAGTATAAATCTTACACGATTTTAGCAATCAATCAAACACACTTATGCTTATGTAAAAGAAGTGTAAACAATTATTGTAATTATAACGGCAGAGTTATTTCTTAGCCAAATTACAGTTACAAAAAAGTAAAAAACATAAAATTTTAACTCAAAAATCCATTTTTTGCTAATTTCAAGAAAACAGGAAAACTAAATCTTAGCACAAACTTTGTCGAACAAATTAAGTTTAAGTCAACAATATAAATTCAAAAACCAATGTGTAGTATTATATCAGAATTGAAACAAAAGTGAAATTACTTTTGCGTTTATAAGCGTTCAAGTAACGGCATATCAATTACAAAAACAACATATTGTTATTGTAAAGCAACAATTTGCTTGCCAAAAACAAAAGACAAAATACACAAAAAAAAAAAAAACAAAAACCAAAAAAGTATTCATAAAGTACACAACCATCACTTCGTTTTCACACTCATTGAGAAAATAAGAAACCTTGTGTCTCCTTGCCAACCGTTCCCCAAAAACAATCCCTTGCATATACCACGCAACGCGACAATTTGCGATAGCAAACTAAACAAAGTGCAACAAAATCAAAAGTAAAACGGCGAGCAGTGCACAAAGACAACAGCATATAATCAGCAAAAGCAACAAAAGCGTAAAAATCAAATTACAAAATAAGAAAACTAAAAGTGCAAACAAAGAGTTAAAGCTACTAAATCAAACTAAATCTATAGTTTAACTAAAGATAGAAAAAATCAAAAACAAATATAAATACAATTTCAAAAAGTATTCAAAACTAAAACAGTTCCTTAAAGTCAACAGCAAAAAACAGTGTGCCAGTGAAAACTTCGCATTAAAAGCGACAAAGCATCAGCAAAGCGATCCGAAGAAAAAGCAACAAATTTACCAAAACATCTAATTCAACAATTACAACAACTGTCTTAAAAAAAGCATTCACCATTGACGCGTTAAAAGAAACGGTTGCAACAACAGCTTCAGTAACAGCGGCTTTGGCAACAGCAACAATCAAAGAAGAACCGGTTAAGAAAGATTTAATAATGGTAAGAGCAACACATGCCTACATATATTTAAGACAAAGAACAAAAGAAACAAGAATGAAATAAAAAGTAAATTTATAAAAAGTAATCATAAAGATCTAAGTATAAAGATCAACGCGAAAAGGTAGTGAGGCCGAGAGGTAAATATATGGGCGGGATAATTGTAGTAACAGAGCAGGCATAATATATTACTGAATGGCGGAGTGTTGCGATAATTTTGAACGTGTTTTACAGCCAAAACTTAAACATAGTGTTTACAAACAAATGTCCACAAACTTTTGCTAAACAAATTTTTACTGCCTTCCTTATAAAAATTAAAAATGTACTGAGCTTATTTTAGCACTTTTTAAACTCATATTTTCTCAACTGTAACGCGATTCCTAAATAATTACGTGTTTCCCAATAAGAACATAATACCCGAAAAATATATTATCTACGAAAATTTAGTATATCTACATATTTTAATCCTAAAAATTGTAAATATGTGGCATAGTACTGAAGTTATTATCTGAAGTTGTAATCCAATTCATATAAATCCTTGCCACCTCTTGAAGAAAAAATATATATTAAAGCAGATGTATTACTTCCAATACCTTAAAATTATGAGTTTTATAGGTACCTCAGACGGCCCTTAATTTAGCATATCTGAAATTTTATTTGGTCTATCATAGTGAAAAAATCTTAATGGACTCAATTAACTCTTTGAAATGTGTATTAATTTTCTATAGCTAATCAGAATCCAATATTTTAAAAAAGTCTTCAGTGCTTTCCGTTATTCTACTGACCTAAGAAATTACAATCAAAAAACGTTTCAGACCCTCTATAGTCTAGTCAATTAGCCAATAGTTCTCAGCTACACTTGTAAAGAAATATTGTAACAGCCTCTATTTTCTTCGATTTGTTTCTTCAAAGCTCCTCAATATTCTAGCCAAAAATTAATAAGCCGTATAGACTGCATTCACGTCGAATTACACTAATAAATTAGCAAAAAGATTACATACAGAGCCTAATTGACTCGATTAAAATACAAACATATTTCTACCTCTAGTTCTTTAGACATATCCCTTTGAAAAAAATAGTCTCAAATAAGTATGAACTTTTTTCTAATAGACCTGAAACAGTTAATTTGTGCTTAAGTATCGAAAATGCGTTTAATTGAATGACAGACCTAATGCCGTTAATGTTGACGTTTGAGGGAAATTATAACGCTCAACACATTATATTATTCTCAGGTTCATCTCAATATCAATTAATTTGATATCTAATGATGTTCTCAAATTCAATAAAAAATATATATTTTGTTTAAGTTTCAATACCTAGTACTATTCTGCGGTTGTGAATTTCTAACTCTAAAATTCTCAATATCTAATATTATATTTCAATTAAGCTCAATCCTTTGAGAAGATATACTTTTAGCAACTAAGCTAAGTACAACTATTAGTCGAACGTAAAACTCTCAGTATTAAATATTATTCATTCTAGGAGAATTGTAGTAATTTGAGTGTTGTGTCAATTAATGTTCTCAATATTTTGAGAAGAGCGTAATTTTTAACTAGTCGTTCCACAATAGACAGCGCTAGTGAACTGATATGTCTAGCATATTAAGCTATATTGCTAATATAACCATTATAACTGTTTTGTAATTGTTGAGAAGTGGCATGAAGAACATACAAATAATGTTAAAAAATTGTTTAAATTAATTAAAGTAGAAATTCATTGCAACATTTCGCCGGAACAGGAAAGTATGCTATCAGAGCACTCATTAAAATAAATAATATTTGCTAAGTATTCATTGAAACAAGCAAATATCGATGGCTTCCGACACTTTTCTAACTTATAACTCGTATTTCTCTTTACTGTTACATATACTATATATACACATATATAAACTAAAACTGTCATCGCCAGTTTAGCACCCGTTCTTATGATCTTATATTGCTTTATCTGCAAGTTTTACAAGAAAAAAAATACAGAAAAAAAAACAATTTACAAATAATAATTTATTCAACTTAAACAAAGAATGTAGCGAGTTCCGAGTTTTTTACTACTTGTAGCCAACGCTTCACTGCTTTTTCAGCTTTTCGTCGACTATTTTCCGCCAACTAAAACTTTTCGCCTGTCGTTTCACTACTTCACTAAGTTATCCTTGCATCTTTATACGTTAAGTTTTCAGTAAATCTCTCCACTTTTTTTTCGAAATTCATAATCTTCCCTCTCGCTATCACTCACACATTTAGTTAAACTGGTAGTCGTTGCGCTTCCATATTTTTTTTCTTATTAACAGCCATGCAAAGAGAAAATACCAATATACATATAATATCTTTTTATAAGAACAAACAATATCCATGCAATATTCTCTTTTTTTTCCTACCACTTTCGCGGCACTTATTACTAGCAGCTGTTCTAACGGTTTTGTTTTTCAGTCTACTTTTGCTTTCTGGTTATTTATATCGCTGTCTCTCTCCAGTTTACTCAACTATCTTTGTATATTTTACTCACTATCTATCTCTCACTCTTTCTGTTAACTAAATAACTTGCGATACGTTTTTGATTATAACGGTTATGTATTAAATTTATATACCATATTATATTATATGCATATACGTTCACATAAGAATTGCATATCGATCACCTACACTAATACATGCCCCATGAATAATAATAGAAATCACAACAAAAAGCACCAAACTGCATAGCATATAAACGAGATCACATAACAGTACATTCACGCATACCTAAATACATACATATGTACATAGTACGCAGTAATTCGCATAACAAAGACAATAACCAATAAAACCAACTTCACAACAGCAAATGCAATTGTTGCAAGCACTACCGGCGACCACACACCTGCACCAGTTGCATCAGACGACAACAACGCCAACACAGGCGACCGCTTACCCGGCGTACCCGGCCACCATGCTGCAGCAGCATCAGGCGCTGCAACACGCGCAGCACCAACAACAGCAATTCCAGCTGCAACAGCAGTATCACTACCAGCAGCAGCAACATCAGCAACAACAGCAGCAGCAGCAGCAACAACAACAGCAGCATCAACAACTGCAAATGCTGCAGACATACATGCAACTGCAGGCGAACAATTTGGCCGCCGCTGCAGCTACCAACAGTGGCACAACCACCAAGTACCAGGCTGCCGCCGCAGCTGCAGCAGCGGCCACCGCCGCCGCCATACAACAGCAACAGCAGCAGCAGCAACAACAACAGCTGCACCAACAGATAACATCGCCGCCGTTGCCGCTGCCGCCGCCGACCGCACAACCACAGCAATATTACGCCGCCACCGCAGCGCCACACCAGCTGACACTCATACCAGCGGCAGCTTGTAATGGCGCTGCTGCGGTCGCCGCCGCCATGTTCGCAACAGCCACCGCTGCGGCTGCGGCCAGTGCCAACAACCACAACCACAACAGCAATGTACATGCATCAGTTGCAGCCACCACAGCAGCCGTCACACCAACCAACAATGTAAATAATAACATGCTTAATCTAACTGCAACAACTAGTGCTCGTAATGCAGCCAAAACTGCAACTGCTGCCGGTGCAATCGGCGGCGCCATTAAACGCAAAGTCGGCTGCAGCATCGGGCTGTTGGCTGTGCCGCATTACGCGTCATATCATAAGCGCAATAACAGCAATAATGCCGGCAATAGCGCCTACAACGCCGCACTCCTCCAACACTGTGGCGGTACTGGCCGTCGCGGCGCGGCGACTGCAGCGGCTGGCGCTCTGAATTACGGCGATAACGATGAGTTGCGTTGTGCCACGGCGTCGAACCATGTGCTGTGTGCTAGCGCTAGCGCCGACGAGCCAGCGGCGATGGATTTGGAGGAGTCGGAGTTGATTGATGATGACGTGCATGAGAATGGGCTTGCGTGCTGCGTCGAAGGTAACATGTCGACTGGCAGCAGTTGCAGTTCGGCGTCCTCTGATTGTTCTTCTATGCCATCGCCATCCTCTGCTACCACTACTACTACTACTACTACTCCTCGTACTACTACTACTACTACTACACTCCACTTAACTTCTCCTAAAAAGGTTTGTGTCTGACACTCACTTTAGATGGCTCGCTCTCGTTCTATTCCTCTCAGCTTCTCTCTTTCACTGCATCCGCAATTACAGCATTTTGTCTGCATATCCTTTGTTGTGCTCCTATGCGGTTTCAAATGTTTCAAGTAGTCGTATTATTTATTCTTTTCGCAGCTAACTGTTCATTAGCCAAATACTAACCAGTTGCTAAGTAATGAGTTGCTTGATTGTGGTTCCCTTTTGTTGTGTTAAAACTGTACATGTGTATATATCACTTTCTACTAACAGCTTGCCTCCTATCATGCACTTCTAGTAGAAAATAGATATTCGTTTATTAATATACTATATAAAACACTTTTTGACACATTTTGTTTTATTTTCATAAATATTTGTGGTAGATACGACAACACTATGTGGTAGATCACATTGTGACTGTTGCAGGGTTGTATGCGTGGTATTATATAGACATATATGTGATTAGAAATAATTTTCGATATATTTTATATTTAGTTTTGTGATATATTTAGTCAATTTATATTTAAAAGTATCAGGTAAAAATTGATTTGATTACAAAAAGTGTTAGAAACGTTCTTTTATGAACTTTACAAAAACATTTTATTATATAATATATTTAGTAGTACTACCATATAAAGTGGTACAATATAAAAACATTTTTCTTTATAGAACTAATGTAAAATATATATATTACTTATACATCCATTAAAATAATATAAATACTTTTTAGTATAACTGATATTGGCAGTTAACTGTTAGAATGTCATAATACGAAAACTATAAACATTCATAAATTCGCCCATCAACATATTCAATTTAAGTTAACTCTTTGAGTATGTTATATAAATGACATAAACCTGCAATAAGATTAAGAAAAAGTGCCGTTATAATATTTCATATAAGGTAAAACGTCCAATGAGTGTTATTCTGTGTACTTA